GTGTGTGTGTGTGTGTGTGTAGAGGAGGGCGGTGTGGGTCTCTGCTACCGGTCTGTTGTGTTTAAATCCAGGAGAGCTGTTTGTCCTCTTGGCTGCTGTAGCCCCACTGTGAAGTACTGCTGTGTACTATGAAGTATTATTGTGTACTGTTGTGTACAAAGCTGTTGTATTGTGTTAAGTTTCCATCCTCCTCCACTTCACTTCCTCATGCCTAATATGGTCAGTATGGTCAGTCCCACTGCCTGAACAAAAACAACCAGCATTCACTAAGGGAGCCAATTACCATCAATACTGGAAGTTGGTCAAATAGTCGATTAATCTATCAACTAAAAAATGACATTTTCGAGTGTTAAATCAACAATATTTGCAAATTATTTGCTGCTTCTTGCTTCTTAAATGTGAGTGTTTGCTGTATTTTACTCAATATGTTTGTGATTAACATGTCTGTGTTTTGAACTGTTTGTCGGACAAAGCAAGATATTTCAAAAATATTATTCTCTTTTTTCTATTTGAATAACACAAAGTCCCGAACAATTGCTAATGAAAATAACCATTTGTTGCAACGCCAACTTTCAAGTTGGTCGGGCAATAATCAACATGAATAAGTATCACAATACTATTTGAATCAAAATAATTTAAAACCACAACCTTTACTCAGTCTTAAAACTTAAAATAGATAATCATTTGTAATATCAAGTGATGTGTAAACTTTATCTTGATGTCATTTTTTTCGCCATATCACTCATCCAAGAATAATAGTTTCAAGTATACACGGTATAGAATATCTAATGACATGAAATCAGGATACTATTACCTCATTGCCTTTTGTTGGCTTTGTCATAACACACAATATGGATGTAGTTCATATAGTATTTTAGTTTGCCACATCCATTCTTTTAGCAGTACATGGAAGGGAATATAATACAAGCTGTTATTAGGTTAAAGTTCAATTCTTTTGGATATTGGTATCCATTAAAGACACATCAGACAGATAGATGGATAAACTACAACCAAATAACATTCAGTGACTATATGCTGTTATGTGCTCGTAGTTTTTCAAATGTATTGTACACAATATACGAGACTGCTCTGGGATTACTACAGTGTGAGTACAGGGGGTTGTTGGCACTGAGTGAAGGGTCCGAGCAACATACCTCAGTGTCAGGCAGAGAGCGAAGGGCTGCTTTGCTGCCTGCGGCTCTGCTGTCTCACTGATGTGTGAAGTGTTGTCTTGAGTGCGTCCTCCCTGCAGCTACATCGCCTGTGAGCTTCTACCCGCCATAAACGCCAGCATGCTGCTTCTGCCTCGTCCCCAATTCCTGCCTAATGTACAATCAGCCGCCCATGCCAGCTTTCATTAAACATGACTGATTAATTTCACAGCCGGGACGATGGGCTCGGTTCCTCCACGCTCTCGAGGAAATGTTCTACATGAATTATTGAATGTTGAGTGTAAATCTGTGGGATTTTAAAGTAATTTTATATTGGATCTGGGCCTTAATGAGTCACTCTGATGGTTTTGGATGCATTTGGTTTCATAAGTTGAGCACAAGACGTCAACGTTAAGTGACAGGTTGTCCTGACTCATTTGGGATGATGGCTGCTGCTCTAAAACTTCTGATCTTAGCTTTTGTTCGAACACTGATGGAAAGGAGGACTTGTTATTATTTTCCTCAATGGCACAGTTTCTCCATCATTACCATGGCACCTCTACAATGGTAAAAGCTGACAAGTAAAACCCTCAACATGTTATCTGGGGAAGACATTGTCTGTGTCACATTGTTCTGCAGGAGCCTTGTGCCTTTCTGTTATTATTGTAGGTGTCAGAAAAGGCAGAATACCATCAGTGCAGAATCCAGGAGAGGCCAGATTACAGCGTCTGTTGACAGGAGAGTGTTTGTGTCTGAGAAAAATCACCAAAGGAATCAGGCTGGAAAAATGTGAACGCAGCAGTCACATGCAGAACAGACAGACAGACAGACAGACAGGACGACTGCTGATGTCCAGAAGCTACTTAGCAGGCAATTTAGAGGGAGGACGCCGTCCTTATGCCAGCATGTTGCGATGCGTCAGAGACGGCTGTCTGAATTCAAATAAGGAGACATTGCATCTGCTTGGCACCTTCACACAAATTAGGTGTGATTAATGGGGGGGGGGGGGGGGGGGGTGAATAATTTGCAATCCTCTATGATTGGAGGGAAGTGTGGCTATAAAATCACCTTAGTTCCATAATGACAGTTAATCTGTATATGAACTGTGTATTGCCAAGTTGTGAAATAGTGAGGCTTGGTCATATGGCAGATAATCAATACCACAATAAATCTTGACTACATACAAAGGTCAGGTATTAAATATGACAAATCATCAATATAAAAGCATTAGTAGCAGTGATTGGTTTTAAAGATACAATTCTTCATTGAAATGTATACAAATAAATGGACCTTATGTTGTTATGCTTATATTATGTTATTTTTTGTTGACTTTTGCATCCACGTGATCCAAAGTAAACCCAACAATATTGAAGCCCAGAGAAATCCTCCATTTTATTCAAGGTAATTGCGTCATATCGGCTGTACACATAGCTTTGTCTGTCTCTGCTATAACGTCTGAGGCAAATGTGGAAAAACACACTGCTAGCCAGTTGGCCACTCAGATGTTTTTCCCTCCGTACTTTGTATTAGTCTCATAATGGATCACGATGCGTAACGTGAATAAAACATCACCTCAACCGTGAACATGATTTGTGCAGAGTCTCGTTGGGTAAAGTTTTCTTCAGCAATGGTGGTGAAGACAACAACTCCCATGATCCCTTGCTGCTTCACCATGTTATCAATTTCAGTCTTTTTCTATTTTGTTTTGATTGAGAGACCCCTAGTGGCCAAAGGTACATATTGCAGATTTAAATGAGACTGGAGTCTGAGGCTATGATTAGAGAGGCACATTAGAGGAGGGGGCAATGCTCCTCAAAAGGAATAGCTTTAATTCCACATGCAGACTTAATTGATTTGGTGACTCCTTGA